GCTCAGCTGCCTGGGTGGCGGGACATGGCTGGTGCTGAGGCTGAGGCTGGGCGTTCTCATGGTCGCCTTGACTAGCGCGCTCAGGACGGTGGCCCTGGTTTCCCTGGAGAGGTTCAAGGTCGCCTGGAGACCTTACCTGGCGTACTTGGCGGCCGTGTTGGGGTTGCTGCTGGCCAGGTACGCCGAGCAGATCCTGCCGCAGTGCTCCGGGCCGGCTCCGCCCAGGGAGCGGTTTAGGTCCCAGCTGAGCGCGAGGACCAAGGAAGAGATTCCGGGGTGGAAGAGGAGGAGGCGGTCCAGCTCAGTCGTGGCCGGCGAGATGTCTGGCTGCAGCGGCAAGTCGCACCGGAGGACCTCCCTGCCCTGCATACCCAGGGAGCAGGTAAGCTGGGGCTGCACCTTTGGGGGCGCTCGGGCCCGGCGTTGGGGGAGGGGGGCTTAAAACGGTGCAGGGAGGGAAGCGCAGGCAACCGGGAAGGCATTCTGCCAAACAGTACAACTTCACACTTACTAAGAAAGTAGTTTTGTTTGTTTGTTTGTTTTTCTCTCGCTGGTTCTCTATCTAGCGGAGTAGTTTCCAAGCACCGCAAAAGAAAACAAGAAAAAGTGACAAAATTAAGTGGCGTTGCGCGGGCTTCCACAGCTGGGGCATGTTTTCAAATCTCCTACACCTGGCTTGTGAGTCCCTGAGCTTTCCAAAGGATTTCTACCCGCCCTAAATCCTTGGAATCAGTTTATTTTTTTTATTAGAAGTAAGTGATTTTCAACACGTGTATTTTCTATATTTGTGTCTTTTAAAAAAACATTAAAATTTGTTTCTTATTAAGTGCTAGGTAAACATTTATAAAAGCCAGTAAAAGAGTTTCTGTAGCCCCCCGCCAGGCATCCTTGGCCGTGAGGCGCCCACAGGCGCTTCTGCTTTGCAGTGGCTTTGGGGAAGCCGTATCTGATCTGATGGCCGCCCCGTAGGGCTTTAGATATACTTCAGTGGTTACACACTGGTGTGTGCTGAACTCTGAACTTAGGTTTTGCACTTGAGGGCTGTGTGTGAACTTTAGAATGGTGCAGAACTGGAAGCTGTGCTTTTATTGTTCACTCAGAAAACTAACCTTTCTCGGGAGCATTTATAAGCCGAGGTGTTGAGAAGTTCGAGTGACTTCCTCAGCAGGGTTTGCAGGAAACATTAATCCAGACTCTCTAAGATCGCTAGTGATACGTGTATTTGAGGAAGGGGAAGGCGGGGGAGCTGAATGCGGAGTGAAGTCGCGCGTGCCCGCCTAGGTGGTTCTTTTTTGAGGGGAGGGGGCGAGGAGGAGTTTGCACATGTCTTCAGTGTCACAGAATAGTTACCCTGCATGGTATAGGAGAGCCATTTCCAATTTTTTACACAAGTTGTACCTGAGAAGTTTGTTTTGTTTTGTTTTGTCTTGTTTTCCGCCTCAGTTTACTCTACCAGGTCTGACACTGGCTGAAGGGGCTCCAGAAAGCTGACTCTACACTCTAAATGGAAATTTACACTTTTCCCATTTAAATTCATGCCTATGAATGATCCTGTTAAGATAATTTTCAGGGTGAAAGGCTGTTCCTATGATAACAGTTAGCCTTTTTGGGGGGGTATTCTAGGGGTAATTGGTTAGGTGTTCCTTAGAAACGTCAGTCACCATATGGTGTGAGCGGTTGGTTTGTTTCTGAAATGGAGTTGATCACCCAGCTGGGTGGCTCTTTGACATTATGTAGCGGACTGGTTGACAGCCTCACATGCTTGTGCTAACTTGAAAACAATTGTACGTATTTAATTTTTTTTGTTTAGCAGAAACAAAAAATTCTGGGTTTAAAGAGTAAAGGGAAAAATATAGGACACTGATGCATAAATGTGTAGGAATTTGGAGATGATCAGAATAAAGTAAGTGAAGTACGGACCGGTGCACAAGAGAGAACTTTTTGGATGAAAACATGACTATCAAAAAAAAAAAAAAAAAAAAAAAAAAAAAAAAAAAAAAAAAAACTATTGCCAACACTTCTCTTTAACTTAAGGGAAACGTGATGCTGTTCTTGCCAACATTGATGACCAATTTACAGGGAAAATCTGGACTGAATCAGAAGCAATTGGACTCCACATTAATGCCACTTAGCCCTCAGAATTAAATTTCTGACATTTCAGATTAAGGGAGTTCAGAGTGGATTAGAGACCAGAAGGCCTTCAGGTGAACTGAGCAGCTTCGTTGATAAACATAGATTTATATAGGTTTTCTCTGTAGGACTGTAATGATCTCATAAAGGCCTATTGAGCTCCTTTTTATCCCCCAGAGTTTTTTATCGATTAATTACTTAGATAGTGCTCGCTTATCATCTACCCTGATCATCTTTTTTTGTTGAAGGAGTGTTGATGAAGAATGTTCTAAAGCAAGAAACTCTGACTGAGGGTGATAGGAAGCCCCAATAGTTGCTTGCAGCAGCAACCTGGACCCTTGAAGTTTTAATGAGGGCATGGGTGAAGTCACTCTCACTGAATGCTGGTTTTTATATATGACCCATTAAAGCTCTTGCTGAACATAATTGTGGCCACAGGGTGGGGCTGACATGGGATAGTATCTTATGAGACAGGGTGAGGTGACAGCTCATACGTTGGCCGAACTCTGTGAAAAGGTTAGGAGCCATATAGTAAATGGCTTATCTTTTTTATCATGAGGAAGCAAACTTCTGATTAAGAGGGCAAAGGGTGTCATGATCATTTACATACTTGACGAAGTCCAGAGTGAAAATAATTATAAAAGGAACATCTACCATTCCTCCCCAGTGCTGCCAGGTTACTTAGTTCTGTCTCCAATAAGGCAGATCTTGTAGGCAACCGGTGAGTTTGAACAGAGGCCTCCTAGGTATTGACTTAGCTGCTGCTCATTGTGGAGTTTCAAAGTGAGACAGCTGGGGCACTTATCTTTTCTGTGTGGGTGACAGTGACCACTGCTTATAAATTCCCTCTCAGTGGCTCAACTTTCTAAAAAGGCACAGAAGAATATATACTAACATTCTCATAAGACTCCCTCCCTCCCTCCCTCCCTCCCTCTAGAAGTCTAGAGTTACAAAGTCTATTGTTCAGATAGCCCACGTAAAATTGAGTTTGTAACCCAGAAAATTTGCAGCACAGAATAGAAAAACCAAGTCCGGTTTTTGGTCAGAGATGGCAGCACCAGGTGTGTCTGCAGGCAGCAGGAAGTGTCTTCTGAGGAGGAACAAGCTGACAGTATCTGGGGGTGGGGTGGGGGGTGGAGTTCAACCTCGACAGCCCTGTAGAGGCTGTAATTTTATGTGACTGTTGCCAAGCTACACTTTTTAGGCTGTTGGTCCAAGAAGACTGGGGTCTGCTGAGGGGTATGTGCCCTCTGGAAGTGAATTCTTACATCTGACAGCAGCTATAACCTTGCCAACTTGGTACTGTCCCCCTGACAACATCCAATATGCAGAATACCTAGATTTATTGAATGATTTTGATTAGTAAGGGCTGTTTTTCAGCACGAAGTTAGTTCTGCACCTCTTAACTTCAGGAAAACACTCAAGGCGTGCCTGCTGTCTGTGTGTATCACCACAAGGTATTGGACACGCACTTCTCTAAAGTGACTGAATCCAGAATCCAGCATACTCATTAATTTCTAATGGATTCCAAGCCAAATCTAATTTTATTTTAGTTACCTGTTATGCACTCAATATTTTAAACATATGGCTTCATAAGAAAAAGAAATACAACCATCCTGCTCTCCCCATGAATGCCTTTGAGACACACCAAGGACTAATTTCTTTGGGATAGACATAGGTAGTCAGAAATGTAGGAGATGCACACTTCATCTTACTAAAGTAAAAGCTGTGCTCTCCTGTGGCTGTTTCTCTAGACATTCAGTTGAGCGTCATTAGCCTATGTGAGTCTCCTTACACTGGAATTTAAGTTTGGTAGCAGAGAAGGGTCAAGTTGTTAATCACTGGGGTGAGAAGGACATTTTAACAATAAAAATGAAACATAGGATAATGGTTTCTGCGAATGGGGTGGTGGTTATGTGGTGGGCTTTCTTATGCCATTGCTTAAAATCAAATAGAACTTGATAGTCTTCACAGTACAGCTACAAAGCACAGAAATATTTCATCTCAGTGATTTTGGAAACAGAGTGTGTTTGCATGTTCATGTGCATCATGTGCACACATGCTTGTATGAGGGAGAGAGAGAGAGAGAGAGAGAGAGAGAGAGAGAGAGAGAGAGAGTTTACACACTATAGCATGTGCTTACAGGGGTCAGAACTTGCAGAACTTAGCCCTACCTTCCACCATGTGGGTCCTGGGAATCCTTCTCTGGTTGTTAGGCTTGGTGGCAAGTGCCGTTATCCACCGAGCCACCTATGCTGGTCCTGCAGGCAGTCTTAGTAGAATGTCAGCATATAAATAATCCAGTTATGTTTTAAAAGTGTATATATATATATATATATATATATATATATATATATAGCCAGGAAAGTGTTCTATCACAGAACCATACCCTATTTTTCTCAACATAAAGAATGTTGTATACATTTCTAAATGTATTTGATATGTTTCTTATATTAAATACATTTAAGAAATATGGGATTTTAAATTGTGGCTTCTATCATATTTCAGAATTATTCCTTAGTTTATAGTGATATAAATAGAAATATTGATTATGACTTGATGACAGAATTAAAATTTATTAATGTCAACCTCTAAAAAGGCAAACAAGGATTTCTGAGCTTCCTGGGAAAGGTGGGAAAATAATGTTTTGTTTTCCAGTGATTTTTTCTTTGTGAATACAGATATTTAAAGCATACCAAAGGGCCATTTTAACTAACAGAAATAGTCTGAAAATCTATATAAACTTCCAGAGGTTGGAGGGAGTGAAAACAGTCACTTTACTCTTTCTGTCTTGAGCCTAAAGTGTAAAAAGTTTAACTGTAGAGCTGAAAGAAACAGTGTGTGCTGGGCTGTCATGTTAATTAAATAAACAACCAGAACAGTGACTCTGTGTATGAAATACATCTGGAAAAGTCTGGGGGGAGGGGGTACAGGCCAGCCGGATGAGTGACACTGGCATGAAAAAACATGCATTTTATCTGTGGTGACATTTGTGTGAATTTGTTGTAATTCTGCTGAGATTTAGCTCTGAGAATCAAGTCTGCATGCACCTGGCTACCTGAAGCCCTGGCTACACTGAACTTTCCACGTTGAAATCCTTCTCATAGGGTTCATTGAGGTGGGGAGTTTATCAAGCCAATAAGCCTGCTTCTATTTTAAAATTTCTTCAATTAATATGGTTCGTGCTGGCCACAGCTTGCTGGAGTTTATGTTGACTTCATTGAAAACTCCTGTTGTTTGATTCCTTTAAAG